TTTTTTTTTTGTTGTCGGTTATACGCATTTTTTTCTAGGTAAAGTATACTCCAGAATTTTTTATAGAAAAATCATGCTAAATTGCATTGATTCAGAATAACCAATTTTTCTAGAGATGATTATCATGGATGTTTGGAATGCCCTAAATCGATCTGTTTACGTACGAAACACGCAGCACTCAACAAATAATGGGTTGATAAAGGTTAGATATCGATCGTGGGGCTGCCTTAGCATGTGATATACACACTTTTTTAGGTCAATTCCAAATAGCGATTAGAAGACATAGGAAATAATGAAAAAAACACACTAATGGAATAATTGAAGTTTGTTTTTGTTAAATCTCTTATAGCGGTTTTTAGCGATAGTAATACTAGACTACTCTAACTTTGCTTGCCCAAGGTGTTGTAGTTGGTTGTTGTGTGCATTTGCATACATATGTATGTATATCTCAATACACCAAAACAAACGGTACAAGCATCAATTGTTTTTTATGCTCAAGATATTAAAAAAATATACATATGTACATATTCAATATGTAAAATAGATGCAAAATTTTTAAATGAACGAAATACAATGAACATCCATCGAAAAGGCTTTGAATAAAAATTGTTTGTGTGTTGGACTATTTAATTATATAGCAATGGTAAATTTTTTAGAAAAAATATGCTATTAGTATACTTCTACTGTTGCCAAACAAAAAACTGTTCATGCTCTAACCCCTAAAGTCTAATAAAGATCATTTCGAAAGCGTATTATTTATTTGCATTTTTGAGTACACAAGGATAAAATAGAGTTATTTTTAGTGTCCCACCAGTCACATTCATTCAAATGATAGTTACGTAAAACTAAGAAATCGTTTGGTATTTATGTTAAAGCAATTTTTCTACATTAGTTGTCGTTCTATATTAAAAAATATATTTCGCTGTTGTATAAGTTCCGACGACATAGTTATAATTCACAATTGATCACATTCTGGAGTAAAATGTCCCAACAGTCACAATGGAATGGCCCCATTATTTTTTTTTTTTTTTTAACCAAAAATGACTAACTCACATGGTTTTAAATTTTACAGTAGAAAAGCCCAGCAACGGAAAATACTCATTATTATTTTATTTTAATTTAACCAAAAGAATTACGACTCACATAGATATTTGTTTTCATACGTCCTACAGTACTCTACAATGATTTTTATTTTTCCGGTTTAACCAATAAAAATTAAAAATACTAATTAATATTTGTTTTGTTTTTCGCTCAAAAGAAATTATTATTCCTTGATTTTCACTCAAAAATAGTGATTACTTTATGATTTTTATTATCAAAGATAACACCGCCACACAAAAAAAGTAACCAACTGAAAAATAATGAGTATCCTGAGCGAAAAAAATATAAATTCATAAGATAATCATTATTTGT